CTCACCACCTGATGGGGACGAAGGAGGTCTTCGTCGACCTGCAGCCGAGCGGCGCCATCAGGCATGTGCGCGGCTTCAATGGGGCGCTGCAGGATGTCCAGGGCCGCGGCACTGTCGCTCTGCAAGGAGAGGCCGGGAAGCAGGTGCTCATCCCGACGTGTTGTACGTCCCGGGTGTGCGAGCCAACCTGTTGTCGGCCGGCCAGCTGAAGGAGCATGGCGTGAAGCTGCAGGAGGACGGAGACGGCATGTTGCTCGTCTCAGCAGCAGGGGAGGTGCTCGGTCGAGCGACGTACTCTGGGCGAGTCCTCTGCACCGATCTGCGTCCCTGCGCGACGAGGTCGACACCACCCACGACGGAGGTGGTGGCCCTGCGGGCGATCGTCTCGAAGACGAAGTCGGCGCCGGACCAGATGCATGCGAGGCTTGCGCATGTCGGCATGGACACCATACGGAGCTCGGCGAAGAACGAGGTCGCCATTGGGCTGGACCTCAAGTCGGCGATGGACGCCGACTCCCCGTGTGTCTCGTGCGTCGGCGGGAAACTGGCGCAGCACACCTTCCCCAACCAAGGCTCCGACGTCGACGACGTGCTGGCTGTCATGCACATCGACCTGTGCGGGCCGTTCCGCGTGGCTGCCAAGGATGGTAGCCTGTACTTCTTGCTGCTGAAGGACCGCAAGACCCGCTATGTGTGGGTTAAGACGGTCGCCAAGAAGTCTGATGCGTTGCAGGCGTTCGTACAGTGGCTGGCGGTGGCTGAGCGGCAGACGAAGAAGTCGGTGCTGATGCTGCGTTCTGACCGGGGAGGGGAGTTTCTCGGGAAGCAGTTCACCGACTTCGTGAACGACAAGGGGATCGTCCACGACCTGACCTGCCCATACACCCCGCAGCAGAACGGCATGGCGGAACGGGAGATGAGGACGGTAGTGGAGTCGGTGCGGACAATGCTGCTGCACATGGGTGTGCAGCACCACTGGTGGCACCTCGCTCTGCGGCAGGCCGTCTGGGTCCGCAACTGCCTTGAGAGGTCGACGCTGCCGCCGGGGACGACGCCGTACCAGCTGCTGACAGGGAAGAAGCCCGACTTGTCGCTGGCGCGGGTGTGGGGCTGCATGGCGCAGTTCCTTGTCCCTGAGCAGCAGCGTGGTGGGAAGCTGCAGCCGAAGGCCAAGTGGGGCCTACACCTTGGTGTGTCAGAGGCGAGCAAGGGCTGGGAGCTTCTTGACGTCGCCACTGACCGGGTGGTCACCACGTCGGACGTGGTGTTCTATGAGGAGCTGTCCCTGGCCGAGTGGAAGACGGAGCATGGGCCGGTGTCCGGCCGCTTGCCGCCCTCTGACACCTCGTCGGCGACGCTGCCGCTGCTTGCCGAGGTCGGTGAGCTTGCTGCTGAGGACGTCGAGGACGTCCACACCCCTACCCCTCACCCTCTGACCCCTGCCCCACCCCTCGTGGCCGACCTGCGTGGGCTGACCTCGGTGTCGGCCTCCTGCGATGAGGGGAGTAGTGGGACGCCGCCTTCGGCGCCGGCCAAGTGCATCGCCGGTGGCCGACGTGACGAGCGGCGAATCGACGAGGGATTGAAGTCGACAGGGGAGGAGCAGGTTGGGGAGCAGCAACCGACAAAGGAACAGGCTGTCGGGAAGCCGACCACGGAGCAGTCGGCGACTGGGACGTCGGCAAGGGAGAAGTCGGCTGGGAAGCCGAGCACAGTGGAGGAGCAGCAGGACGCCGAGGGCAGCGACGACAGTGACAATGGAGGGGACGCCGAGGAGGTCCAGCAAGGACCGCGACGTTCAGGCCGACTTCGGAGGCCGCCTGACTTCTTCGTCCCCGCTGCCTTCACCACGGTGTACGACGTGGACGATGACGACGACCTGCTGTACGACGACGCCGAGGAGGATGAGGGGTTTCCGGAGCTCGACCCCGACATGCTAGCTGACCCCGAGCACCGTTGGGACATCTCGACGATGACGGTGAAGGAGGCGCTGGCGAGCTGGAAGGGCCCGGCGGTGAAGGCCGCCATGGAGGAGGAGATTCGTAGCCTCATCAACATGGGCACTTGGGAGCTGGTCCAACGCCCGCCGGAGGTGAACGTCATGAAGAACCGGTGGGTGTTGACGACGAAGTACCACATCGACGACACGGTCGAGCGAGAGAAGGCGAGGCTGGTCGTGAAGGGCTTCACACAGGTGTACGGCGCCGACTACGACGAGACGTTCGCGCCGGTGAGCAGCTACGTCACGCTAAGGATTTTCCTCAGCATCGTCGCTGTCCTCGACCTCAACCTGATGCAGCTCGACATGAAGAACGCCTTCCTGCAGAGCAAGCTCGATCGGGTGCTGTACATGTCTCAGCCGGACTACTTCAACGACGGAACCGGACGGGTGTGTAAGCTGCTGAAGAGCCTGTACGGGCTGAAGCAGTCGCCGCTGTTGTGGTACTTGGCGCTCAATGATGTGCTGGTCGGCGCCGGGTGGAAGAAGAGTCAAGTCGACGAGGCTCTTTACTTCAAAGTCGGCGAGGGTGGAATGGCCTGCTGGGTCCTGGTCTACGTCGACGACCTGCTTGCCGCCAGCAGCAGCGCCGCGATGCTGAAGGAGCTGAAGGAGCTGCTGGAAGCCGCCTTCGAGCTGCGCGAGATCTCGCCGGTGCAGAAGTACCTCGGGCTCGAGATCGTACGCGATAGGTCGGCGGGGAAGCTGTGGCTGCACCAGCAGGGCTACGCTGACCAGTTGCGTAGGCGCTTCCTCGACGAGGAGCAGACCGGGCGCACCCCGAAGACGCCGGTCTCGGTCGGTGCCTATGCCGAGCTCACCTTCGATGACGAGGAGGCGCAGGAACGGCAGGAGGAGGAGTACCGGCAGAAGGTCGGCTCGCTGCAGTTCGCGGCGACGACGACGAGGCCGGACGTCGCCTTCGCCTGTAGCAAGCTGGGGAGCGGCCTCACGGTGAGGAGCGACCAGCACTGGCGCGAGGTCGACCGCTGCCTCGCCTACCTCGCCAACACACGTGACACCGCCCTAGAGTTCGGCGGTGGACCTCAGTCGCTGGAGCTGGTCGGCTACGTGGACGCCGACGACGCCGGTGACAAGCAGAACAGGATGAGCACGAGCGGCTACGTGTTCGTCTACGGAGGGGCTGCAGTCTCCTGGTCGAGCCAGCGCATCAAGTGCGCGACGCTGTCGTCGACCGAGTCGGAGTACGTGGCGGCCACTGAAGCTGGCAAGGAGGGACGTCGCCTTCGCTTCCTCCTCGCCGAGTTCCGGCAACTGGACGCCGGGAAGCCGACTGTCCTGCGCGTGGACAACAAGTCGGCCATCACGGTCGCCGAGGGCATGGGGTTAACGGGCAACCTCAAGCACATGGAACGGCGGCAGGCCTGGCTACAGCACATGGTGAGGCGCGGGAAGTTCTCGCTGCAGTACATCCCGACCGCTGAACAGCCGGCCGACTTCCTGACGAAGGCGCTGCACTATCCGGCCTTGAACCGGTGCTCCGTTGCAATCGGCCAAGTGCGCTTGGACAATGTGGGCGACGGCGACAATGACGTGCAGCAGTAGGTGCCATGCCCTTTTGCATGGCTGGTGCGGTGGACGACGTGCTATGTGTTGGGTGCACGTCGACGAGCTATTCTCCGAGGAGTACTGCCGAGTGGACTTGGGGGGGCCAAGCGTGAACGCGGCAGGGGAGTGTCAACGGGAGTTGGGTATTGGCCCCGTCCTCGCTTGGGCGGAGCCGACTTCGTGGTCGGGTGTGAGGGGAGCAGCCGACCTGCAGCAGTGGGTGAGCTGGTCGACGAGGAGGTCGACCTGCACGGGGGACCACTGCACGGGCGCCGACTTCAGGGTGGCGCCGACTTCAGGGAGGTCGACTTGGGAGTCGACCTGAAGAGGACGTTGAAGCCGACTTCGGCAATCGGCTAACGGACTGCTAGTCGACCTGTTAGTGGTCGACTGGACCTGGTGGTCGACGAAGGAGGGGCCGACGTCGACCTCGACTCAGGACGCTGAGCAGTTGGGTGTCGAATAGCTGGGCGTCAACTTTGTGACGCCAGCTTCGGGTGGCCGACGTGGGTGGTCGGCCGACGACTGTGCTGGTCGACGTGGAGCTGGTCGACCAGAGGGGATGTCGACCTGGAGGAGGTCGACCGATGGTGTCGTCGACCTAGTGAGGTCGACGTGGAGGTGGTCGTCGACTTGGGAGGTCGACGGGCACGTACGGGAGCTGCTGGTCGACGTGGTAGCCTGGTCGACCAGGTTACCTGGGTGACGAAGTGCTGCGAAGGAGTGCGACGGTCGCCCAGGCGAAGTTGGCGAGCACGACCTCAGTGGTGGTATCCCGAGGTCGTCGTGGCGGGCCAGAGGCAGTCGTCAGCTCAAGGTTGACGTGGAGTGTGCGCTGTGCAGGTGACGGGACTCTGCACGCCAATCGGCTACGCACACCTGCGAAGCGGGTGCACTGCTGTCCTGCGTGAGCAACGCTGGCACGCCGTCGACCTTGCCTTGCTGGAGTTCGGTCGACCAAGCCGTGCTGGAACGCGGTCGACCAAGCTGCGCTGGCAGTTGGCCGACCTGAATGCTAGCCCTGATGTAGTCTTGCATTGCCAACTTCATTGTACCATTGTTCTGAACTTTTCCTAGTGAAACTCTTGCCAATTTTCCCCGTGAACTAGCAAGTAGTGTGTGCACAAGGAAAACGACTAAGGAACAGAGAACGCAGAGATCACACGAGCACACGTGCCTAGCCCGTAGCCTAGCTCCCGTTGCTGCAGTTATCTCCGCATCTGCAGCTTCAGCCGTCGCCTCCTATCTCCTCTCCTCTCACTCTCGCCTCCTCCTCCTCACTTGCCCTCTGCGATAGCCTCTAGCTTTGCTCATAATTGTTAACTTTAAACTATTGCTTCTTGAACTTGTGCTCAGAATGTGTGGTGACATCGTGATCCACCCTGAGCTTGTACTGTTTTGCTTGCTCTGCTGATTACACCCCACTTTGGCTATGGGGGTGTGTCAGAATATTATGCTCTAGCCTGTAGTGGGGTGCTCCATAGCAAGTACAACCCTTCTAGGGTTTGCTATTTGTATCCCCATTCTTGCTAGTTCAACCCTCTTCTCTCTTATAAACTTTCACAACCCACTCCTTCCCCCGTCGCTCACTCTCTTTCCGCCGTCACCCTCGCTTTCCCCCGCCGCCCACTCCTTCTCCCGCCGTTCTCGTTTGCCCCCGTCACCCACTCTTTCCCCCGTCGCACTCGCTTTCCCCCGTCGCCTTTGGCTTTCCCCCGTTGTCCTTGCTTCCCCCGTCGCCCTCGCTTTCCCTCGTCGTCATTGCTTTCCCCCGTCTCTCTCGCTCTCCCCCGCCGCCCACTCGTCTCCCCGTCTCTCTCGCTTTCCCCCGCCGCCCACTCATTCTCTCGTCGTTCTCGTTTGCCCCCGTCACCCACTCTTTCCCCCGTCGCACTCGCTTTCCCCCGTCGCCTCTGACTTTCCCCCATCGTCCTTGCTTCCCCCGTCGCCCTCGCTTTCCCCCTTCATCATTGTTTTCCCCTGTCTCTCTCGCTCTCCCCCGCCGCCCACTCCTTTCCCCGTCCCTCTCGCTTTCCCCCGCCGCCCACTCCTTCTCCCGTCGTTCTCGTTTGCCCCCGTCACCCACTCTTTCCCCCGTCGCACTCGCTTTCCCCCGTCGCCTCTGGCTTTCCCCCGTCGTCCTTGCTTCCCCCGTCGCCCTCGCTTTCCCCCGTCGTCATTGCCTTCCCCCGTCTCTCTCGCTCTCCCCCGCCGCCCACTCCTTTCCCCGTCTCTCTCGCTTTCCCCCGCCGCCCACTCCTTCTCCCGTCGTTCTCGTTTGCCCCCGTCACCCACTCTTTCCCCCGTCGCACTCGCTTTCCCCCGTCGCCTCTGGCTTTCCCCCGTCGTCCTTGCTTCCCCCGTCGCCCTCGCTTTCCCCCGTCATCATTGCTTTCCCCCGTCTCTCTCGCTCTCCCCCGCCGCCCACTCCTTTCCCCGTCTCTCTCGCTTTCCCCCGCCGCCCACTCCTTCTCTCGTCGTTCTCGTTTTCCCCCGTCACCCACTCTTTCCCCCGTCGCACTCGCTTTCCCCCGTCGCCTCTGACTTTCCCCCATCGTCCTTGCTTCCCCCGTCGCCCTCGCTTTCCCCCGTCGTCATTGCTTTCCCCCGTCTCTCTCGCTCTCCCCCGTCGCCTCTGGCTTTCCCCCGTCGTCCATGCTTCCCCCATCGCCCTCGCTTTCCCCTCGTCGTCATAGCTTCCCCCGTCGTCTCGCTTTCCCCCGCCACACACTCCTTCCCCCGTCTCTCTCGCTTTCCCCTCCTGCCCACTCCTTCTCCCGTTGTTCTCGTTTGCCCCCGTCACCCACTCCTCCCCCCGTCGCACTCGCTTTCCCACGTCGCCTCTGGCTTTCCCCCGTCGTCCTTGCTTCCCCCATCGCCCTCGCTTTCCCCCGTCGTCATTGCTTTCCCCCGTTGCTCTCACTTTCCCCCGCCGCCCACTCCTTTCCCCGTCTCTATCGCCTTCCCCCGCCACCCACTCCTTCTCCCGTCGTTCTCGTTTGCCCCCGTCACCCACTCCGTCCCCCGTCGCTTCCACTTTCCCCCGACACCCACTCCTTCCCCTGTCGCTCTCGCTTTCCCCTGCCGCCCACTCCTTCTCCCGTCGCTCTCGCTTTCCCCCGCAGCCACTCCATCTCCCGTCGCTCTCTCTTGCCTCCGACACCCACTCCTTCCCCCGTCGCCGTCGCTTTCCCCCGTCTCCCTCCCTTTCCCCCATCTCCCTCCCTTTCCCCCGTCGTCCGTAACCTCCCCGTCGCTCTCGCACGCTCCTCGTCGCTCTCGCTTTCCCCCGTCGCCTTTGTTACACACCGTCGTCATTGCTTTCCCCCGTCGCCAGCTCCTTCCCCTCTCGCCCTCCCCTTCCGCCCCCGCCTTTTCTTGACCCCCGCCTTTGGCGCCCCCGTCACTTTTGGTACACCCGTCGGTTCTGGTACACCCCCTGCCATTACTCCCCCGCCCTCGTCACCTACTCCTGCCCCGTCGCCCTCGTTTCTCCCCGTCACCCACTGTCAGAACATTATAGCTTACTTATTTGTGTAGGCTATAGTGGGGTATCCCATAGGGGGTACAACCCAATTAGGGTTTCCTATTTGTACTCACTTCGTTCATAGTGATTTCATTCTCGTTCAAATCTTCTCATGGTATCGAGCAGGTTCCCCTGTGGGAACTGCGCCTAGGGCCCACCACTTCGAGTTTTTTTTTTTACTGCCCGAAGCGCACTCATCCCGAGTCGCGCTTCGGGCTATTCACTTACCGAGCCGCCCTAGCGGCCTTCTCTCCCCTAGCGGCCCTGCCGCCCTACGCTTCGCGGCCCTATTGCCCTGCACTTCGCGGCCCCGCCGCCCTTCCTTTGCAGCCCCGCCGCCCTGCATTTCGCGGCCCTGCCGCCCTACGCTCCGCGGCCCCGCCGCCTTGCACTTCGTGGCCCCGCCGCCCTTCCTTTGCGGCCCCGCCGCCCTCTGCTAAGCGGCCCCGCCGCCCTGCTTCGACGGCCCCGCCGCCCAGCTTTGACGGCCCCGCCGCCCTGCTTCGACGGCCCCGCCGCTGTGCTTCGACGGCCTCGCCGCCCTGCATCGACGGCCCCGCCGCCCTGCTTCGACGGCCCCGCCGCCCTGCTTCGACGGCCCCGCCGCCCTGCACCTCGCGACCCCGCCGCCCTTCCTTCAGCAGCCCCGCCGCCCTGCACTTCGCGGCCCCGCCGCTTCTCCTTAGCGGCCCCGCCGCCCTTCCTTTACGGCCCCCCCGCCCTACACTTCGCGGCCCCGCCGCCCTCTGCTAAGCGGCCCCGCCGCTCTCCTCCTCTGCAGCGCCACCCGAGCCGCCGCCCACTGCACCACCCTGCAGCGTGCACCCGAGCAGCCGCCCGCCGCGCCACCTAGTACCGGAGGAGCTGAGCCGCCTAGCCGCGGTGCAGCCGAGCCGCCCAGCAGCCGGGCCACCCAGCAGCCGAGCCGCCAAGCCGCCGAGCCGCCGAGCAGCCCAGCCGCCGAGCCGCCGAGCAGCCCAGCCGCCGAGCCGCCCCGCAGCCGAGCCGCCCTACTGCCGAGTCGCCCGACCTGCCTTGTCTGGTGAGCACAGCCCCACTGCTACTGCGTGCCCGTCCCCCCCCCACCTCTGCTTGCACTGCTAGCCTTTCGTCATGGCCACCCCTAGTGTCCTCGCTTTTGACGCTGAGGGTCGAGCCATAGACTTTGAGGTCTGGCTCGACGACCTGCAGCTGTTTTTACAGTGCGATAGGGCGGACGGTCTGTCTCTCTTTGACCTCACCTCTGGCGCCGTCCCTGCCCCTGCTGCTGATGCTGACGCCACTGTTCGCTCACAGTGGGCCACGCGCGATGCTGCTGCACGTCTTGCTGTGCGTCGCCACCTGCCTACCGCTGAGCGCGCGCACTTTAGCCAGTACAAGAGTGCCCAGACCTTGTACGACGCTGTAGTTGCGCGCTACTCCTCCCCTGCCACTGCTGCACTGAGCCGCCTCATGCTCCCCTTCCTCTTCCCTGACCTTGCCGCCTTTCCCACAGTCGCTGATCTCATTACGCACCTCCGCACTAGTGACACTCGCTACCGCGCTGCGCTTCCTGCTGACTTCTGCGCCAAGAACCCCCCCCCCCATGTACATCACTCTCTACTTTTTAGTCACTCGCCTCCCTGACTCCCTTCGTGTAGTCCGGGACCACTTCCTCGCGGTCTGTCCCACCACCCTCACAGTCGACAGCCTCGAAAAGGCCCTCCTAGCGGCGGAGAAGAGCATAGTCGCTGTAGGAGCCTCTCGAGGTGACCCCCGCGCCCCCATCTTTGAGGGGTGTTCTCCTTCCCCTCTCCTGCCCTCTGTCGCCTCTGCCGCTGCGGCCGACCTCGTTGGTCTTGAGTCGGTCGGTGCGGCGTCTGCCCCTAGCGGGAGACGCCGCTCTGGCAAGGGCAAGGGGGGCAAGGGAGCGGGTGGGGCCAGCGGGGGCGGTGGAGGTGGAGGTGGAGGCGGCGGAGGGAGTGGGGGTGGCGGTGGAGGTGGTGGCGGGGGTGGGGGTGCTAATGGCGGCAGTGGAGGCGGGGGTGGCGGCGGCGGTGGCGGTGGGAGCGGAGGTGGCGGAGGCGGCGGCGGTGGAGGCGGAGGCGGGGGCGGTGGAGGCGGAGGCGGGGGTGGCGGTGGTGGAGGTGGTCGGAGTGGAGCTTCTCAGCGGAGCAGCACTGGGGGAGGTCAGCGCCAGCAGCAGCAGCAGCAGCGTTCTCGCGACGTCCCCACCCCTCAGCAGCTCCGTGAGTGGTACATGCAGCGTCAGCGCGGTGGGGGTTTTGGTCCCTGCACCTACGTTCTCCGACTAGCGACCGCGCTGGAGAGCAGTGTGGGGGCACCCACACCGCCCAGCGCTGCTTTGGCCGCCTGACGGACGCTTGGCTCCAGCAGTTCCCGGAGGCCGCGGAGATCCCCCGCTGGGGAGAGCTGTCTAGGGCTGGTGTAGCTATCTTTGATCTTGATTTTGATGCTATCCTTGCTGCCATGTATGCTGTGACCATTAGTGATGAGGGTGACTGTTACCGGTGTTTCCCGCCCGACCCGGGCATTGGTACTTCTGCTCTAGGTGCCAGTGTGTCTGTGCTCTCAGGTGCTGGTGAGGCTGCTCTCTCAGGTACTAGTGCGTCTGCGCTCTCAGGTACTGCGTCGGCTTCGGCCTCCCACACCTTCACTCTTGACTCTGGAGCGTCTCGCTCTTTCTTTCGGGACCGCACCACACTCACGCCGCTTAGTCGGCCGGTTGCGGTTTCCCTGGCTGACCCCTCTGGGGGTCCTGTCCTGTCTCGCTTCTCCACAGTCCTCCCGTGTCCGGCGGCTCCCTCTGGCACCCTGTCTGGTCTCTACCTCCCCTCGTTCTCTACGAACTTGGTGAGTGGTGCTGACCTACAGGATGCGGGAGTCCACCAATTCACCCCTGCTCGTCAGCGAGTGACGCACTGCACAGAGGCTAGCACGGGTCGTCACCTGGCTACGTTTACACGTCAGCCAGGGTCGAGCCTGTACACACTGACCACTGCTTCTCCTCCAGGTGCTGAGTCTGGTAGAGTCCCTTCGTCTGGTCAGGTGTTTGCTGCAGCGTCCAGGTCTGGTCCTGAGTCTGCCCCCTGTTCGTGTCGCCGTCTGTCTCACGAGACCCTCCTCTGGCACCACCGCCTTGGCCACCCCTCTCTGCGTCGGCTCAGAGGCATGGCCTCCCGTCTTCTTCTGTCTGGTCTCCCCCGGTCCCTCCCTCCCCTTCCTCAGGGCCCTGGCCCTGCCTGTGTCCCCTATGTCGAGGGGCGCCATCGTGCTGCCCCTCACTCCTCCCAGTTTCCTCCGACACAGGCTCCGTTGCAGACGCTTCACATGGACGTGTGGGGCCCTGCCCGCGTCCGTGGACTCGGTCACGAGCGCTACTTCCTGTTGGTGGTTGACGACTACTCGCGTTACACCACAGTCTTCCCCTTGCGCAGCAAGGGTGATGTCACTGAGGTGCTGATCGACTGGATCCGCGCAGCTCGTCTCCAGCTCAGGCAGAGCTTTGGCTCGGAATTTCCGGTGTCGCGTCTGCACTCGGACAGAGGCGGAGAGTTCTCCTCTGGCCTTCTGCGTGCCTACTGTCGTGAGCGAGGCATCCGCCAGACCTTCACGCTTCCGAACTCACCGCAGCAAAATGGGATTGCATAGCGCCGCATTGGCATGGTCATGGACGTCGCTCGTACGTCTATGATGCATGCAGCTGCCCCCCATTTTCTGTGGCCGTTTGCGGTCAGGTACGCGGCGCATCAGATCAACCTCCACCCCAGGGTCTCCAGGCCGGAGACCTCCCCAGCCCTGCTGTGGACGGGGAAGGTTGGCGATGCGTCGGCGTTCCGGGTCTGGGGATCTCGGGCGTTTGTCCGCGACTTGTCTGCGGACAAGCTGTCCCCTCGCGCTGCAACCTGCGTCTTCCTGGGGTTCCCCCCCCGACGCCCCTGGGTGGCAGTTCTACCACCCCACCTCTCGACGTGTTCTGTCCTCCCAGGACGTCACGTTCGACGAGTCGGTACCCTACTACCGCCTCTTCCCCTACCGCACTCCGTCCCTCCCCCCGCCCCCGCTCTTCTTGGTACCAGGTCCCCCCCCGGTAGACCCCCTCCCCCCTCAGGGTCCTGCCCCTTCAGGTGTGTCCCAGGTAGACGCGGTCGAGCCTGTCGAGGTCACTGGTGACTCTGGTGCTGCTGCGGGAGCTGAGCCTGGGGGTGCTGGGTCTGGAGGTGCTACGCTTGGGAGTGCTGAGCCTGGGGGTGCGGAGTCTGGGGGTGCTGAGCCTGGGGGTGCTGAGCATGGGGGTGCTGAGCCTGGGGGTGCCGAGCCTGGGGGTGCAGAGTCTGGGGGTGCTGAGCCTGGGGGTGCTGGGCCTGGGGGTGCTGAGCCTGGGGGTGCTGAGACTGGGGGTGCTCCGCCTGGAGGTGCTTCGTCTCGCCGAGAGCCACTCTCCCCACAGGAGCTGCGTGAGTGGTTTGCCCATTGCTGGAGGCGTGATGCTGGTGCTGGAGGTTCTTCGGCTGCAGAGGGTGCTGCTGCCGAGCGTCCCGGAGGTGCTCGTGCTGTGGGTGCTGGAGCTGCTGGGCCTGCGGGTTCTCCTGGAGCTGGTGCTGCTGAGGGTGTTGGCGCTGAGACTACCGCTGGCGGTCCGACTAGCAGTGCTCCTGGTGGTGCTGTTGGAGGTTCTGGAGCTACTTGAGGTGCTGCTGGAGGTGCTGCTGGAGCGGGTACTCCTGCTGGGGGTACTGGTGCTGTCCCTGCTGTTTCTGGCATCGCCACGCGGCCCTGACCGTACTTCGTTCCGCTCCTGCAGCAGGTTCTTGGTCCTCCTCCTCCTCCCTGGTCCACAGCCTGTCTCGTCACAGTCACAGCTACAGCCTGCCTCCCCTTTGCCTGCTCCTTCTCCCTACGCTGGTCTGACTGGAGGTCTTACTGAGCGTCGTGAGCCTGCGTCTCGTCCTGCGTCGCCTGTTCGTACTGCGCGCACTAGTGGTCGCGGTTCGCGTCAGCGTCCTCCTCCTGTCCCTGGCACGCACCGGATGTCTTTGCGTCCGTCCACTGCTCCTCTGCGTGCCCCTTTGCCTTCTCCTCCTGCTTCCTCTCTTCCTGCTCTTGCCGACCCGGAGTCGGACTCTCTTCGTGCTGCGAGTCCTACTGTCACGCGTCTCCTTGCTACTGCTGTCACTGACCCTTCTTTCGAGTCTTCTGTTGCGTCTGCCCTTGTCACCGAGCTCGTCGACTTTGCTGCGCGCTGTCGTCTAGACTACGCTGCTAGTCTTGTCGCTGAGTCTGAGTCTGCCTGTCCTCCGTCCGTCGGGGGTGAGTGTGCCCTTGGCACGGACATCCTTGAGGACAGGCAGGAGGAGTTCCAGTGTCTGGCCGCCGCTTCACCTCATCTCGCGTCTGTACTGCTAGCCCCTGAGGGAGACCCGGATGCACTTGACATCCCGACTCCGCGCTCTTACGCGGAGGCGATAGAGGGTCCCTACTCCTCTCAGTGGCAGGCAGCTATGGATGCAGAGATGGCTTCCTGGAAGTCCACAGGCACCTATGTTGACGCTGTTCCCCCTCCTGGGGCGAACATCGTTAGTGGCATGTAGATCTTCAGGGTGAAGCGGCCGCCGGGTTCTTCGCCTGTCTTCAAGGCGCGTTACGTGGCTCGTGGCTTTAGTAAGCGGCAGGGAGTTGACTACTTTCAGACCTTCTCCCCCACCCCGAAGATGACCACTCTTCGGGTACTGCTGCACGTTGCTGCTCACTGTGACTACGAGCTGCACTCTCTCGACTTCAGCACAGCTTTTTTGCAGGGCAGCCTGCACGAGGAGATCTGGCTGCGTCGCCCACCTGGCTTCACTGGGTCTTTCCCTCCTGGTACCCAGTGGAGTCTCCGGCGTCCAGTCTACGGTCTCCGCCAGGCGCCACGTGAGTGGCACGACACACTGAGGACTACGCTTGCTGCACTCGGGTTTGCTCCTTCTACTGCCGACCCGTCGATGTTTCTGCGCACCGAGACCTCTCTGCCGCCGTTCTACATCCTCGTGTACGTCGACGACTTGGTCTTTGCCACAGCTGACACTGCTGGACTCGCCTACGTGAAGTCCGAGCTGCAGAAGAGACACACGTGCCCTGACCTGGGTGAACTGCGCAGCTACCTTGGCTTGCAGATCACCCGGGACAGAGCACGCCGCACCATTACCCTGACTCAGTCACACATGGTGCAGCAGGTCCTTCAGCGCTTCGGCTTCACGTACTCCTCGCCTCAGGCCACTCCTCTGCCTACTCGCCACTCGCTCTCAGCTCTGCCTTCGGATGAGACCGTAGAGTCGAGTGGCCCGTATGCAGAGCTTGTTGGCTGCCTCATGTACCTGATGACCTGCACACGACCTGACCTTGCATACCCTCTTAGCATTCTCGCACGCTATGTTGCTCCTGGGAGACACCGACCAGAGCACATGGCTGCAGCGAAGAGGGTGTTGCGCTACTTGTGCAGTACGTCGGGCATGGGGCTAGTGCTTGGAGGGCGCAGTCCAGTGGTTCTCACTGGGCACGCGGACGCTTCTTGGGCTGACGACCAGGCTACACCTTCAGCCTTGGTTCCGGCTCTGTTTCGTGGCGGGCTACCCGCTCGTCTTCTGTTCTCGGCTCCAGTTGTGAGGCTGAGATCTACGCTGGGGCTATGGCTGCACAGGAGTTACGCTGGCTCACCTACCTGCTGACCGACCTTGGAGAGCCGCCTCGTTCTCCTCCAGTCCTGTACGTAGACAACAAGGCCATGCTGGCCTTGTGTCGAGAGCAGAGACTGGAGCACAGGACAAAGCACATTGCTCTCCGCTACTTTCTTGCTCGTGAGCTCCAGCAGCGTGGATAGTTGCGACTTGCGTACGTGGCCTCTGAGGCCAACACTGCTGATGTCTTCACCAAGGCACTTGCGCCTTGTGATCATCAGCGTTGTTGCACGCAGCTGGGTCTTGTGCCTGTCTTGCCTCACTTGCTCACTTCTTGACCTTGCTTGTACCTTCACCTATATATACTCTTGCTCTTGCTTGCTTGACTCTTGTATATCTCTATATATGATCTTGCTTGTAAACTGGCCTTCTGGCCTTTGAACTTGTGCTCGGAATGTGTGGTGACTTTGTGATCCACCCTGAGCTTTGCTTTGCTTTGCTTGACTGGTCTTGTGACCCCTTGTTCTCCCCCACTTTGCCTATGGGGGTGTGTCAGAACATTATAGCTTACTTATTTGTGTAGGCTATAGTGGGGTATCCCATAGGGGGTACAACCCAATTAGGGTTTCCTATTTGTACTCACTTCTTTCATAGTGATTTCATTCTCGTTCAAATCTTCTCACCCACCCCTTCCCCCTTTGCCCATGTTTCCATCCATCTCCCACCCTTTTCCCTGTCATCCTCTCATACACCCATCGCCCCCGGTTTCCCCCGTCTCCCACCCTTCCCCTGTCACCATCTCTTACACCCGCCGCCCTCGTAAGCTTGTGCCGCCCTCGTAAGCCCCCTGCCTTCCCTCTGCCTGATACCCTTGGCTGTGTGCACTCAACTGCCTCCTTCTCCCCCCGCTCCTTCGTTCAGGGATCCTTCCACCCTCAGCAGTCTCTTATTACTCCTTTCTCCTCACCGCCCCTCCGCCCGCCCCTCACCACCACCCTCCCATCTCTTCTTATAGCAGATGGCTTACAATTGCGGAGTGTGCGGAGCTGCTGGGTTCTCTGGTAGGGGTCCGCTCACAAACCATAAAAATGGCGAAACGTGCAGAGCCACTGCTGCAAATCGTTCTGCGACCGCTGAATCTTCACGCTCCATGCAACTTCCACGCACCACGCAAGTTACCATGCCACGGCCTATGTTGAACATACCCACAGCAACTGCACCCATGCCTGACACCCCGCAACCTCCTCCTCCTACTTCAGTCCCCACCATTCCTGAGCCCGAAACCCACACAAAGGAGAGGGCTGAAGGTGATGGCGTAGGGGATGGTGGGGCGGCATCAGGAGGTGAGAGCGACACATTCAATTTTGCAGATGCATTCGCTCATTTCCTCCTTACCTCCAATCTGTCTAGAAGTGCTATTGATAAGTTGCTCCTCATCTTGAACCTTGGTTCAAAGTTCAATGACCACGTTGTCATTTTCAGAAATGCGTGAGACGTTGAAAAATACGTCGATGAACGCATCCCAGATCCTCACCGTAACTGGAGACGAGGTCTTGTGCGCGTATAGTGAAAAAATTCGTTAGAGTTCTTTTTTTGTGATGGTGTCATTGGGATGATTGACCTTTTGACACATCCAAAGAATGCGGACAAACTCGTTCTTAAACCCACGTCGCGCATCCCCGGTGAGACACATATGTACTCATCACCCGAATCCGGGGATTGGTGGTTTACTTTGCACAATGAGGTCAAAAAAGTGGACCCGGACGGGGTCGTGGTTGCTCTGATATTGTCGAGCGACGAGACACATATGGACCAAAGAGGCAAGGCCAAGGGTCATCCAGTGTACCTGACACTGGGAAACATCAACAAGCATGACCGTTGGAAGCCATGGGGCCATGTACTGCTTGCTTTGCTACCTGAATTCACGCCTCAGTACGATTCGCTAGACAAGTTGATTGTCTTCCAACACATCCTTTCAATGGTCATGGAACCATTGCAAAAGGCCTCACACACCGGAGTGAGAGTCCAGGACCCTACTGGTGCCACGTACAACGCGTGGCCTGGTTTGTACGCATACGCATGTGACTATCCAGAGTCGTGCAAGGTGACTTGCACAAAATCGGGGGCCACAGGCTTCCCATGCTCGTTGTGCACAGTCCCTGTTGCTGAGACCAACAAACTACTGCCTCGCATTGTCCCTCGTACTCCACATTTGCAAAAGGGCATTACCTCGCTTTTGCAAATGCGGTTGTTTCCGAAAGGCGTGTCAAGCATGTCAACACATCCGGTGAATTGTTTTCTGTGGGGTTGGCGTTGGTCATCTATTCCTATTTTGAACCCTTATTTGAGCGTCATGCCTGATATCATGCACCAGGTAGATTTGGGAATTCTTGTGCACATCATTGACTTTTTCCGTACACAACTCATCATCGCTAAAAAAAAAGAGGCCGACGAGAGAATGACCTACTTGCGGGAGCACAACCGCAACCCGTTCATGCGCCTGCCTGGGGGCGAGTATTTCTCCTCAGGCGCGAGCTATCAGGCGTATGAGCATAGGAGTGTCATGCAAGTCCTTCCTTTTGTAGTGCGTGGCTTTGAGTCGACTGTCCCTCAGGCGCAGTTGGACGCGATTGCAACTTACATTGACTGGTACACCTACTGTGCCCGCGCCAGTGAGTATACGACAGAGACGCTGCGTGATTTGAAGCACAAGGCCGAAAGGTATGTCCATGTGTTACTATACAATGCAGCGCGTGCATGCAATATGTTGTTGCACATGTAAGACTACCACTATGGGATTCTAGCCAATGCCTTTCTGCTCAAACATATCTTCCCCCACCATCACCATTGTATGGCAGGTTGGTTTTCACCCTAAAATCAGCCTTTCCTCTACAGGCGTCAAAGTGGCGCTTCATCAAGATGCACCTGATTAGCCACTACATTGACTCGATCCGTCGTGCTGGCTTGCCAGAGCACTACTCTACGCAGATGTTTGAGCACCTGCACATCAAGTACATCAAGAACCCTTACAGAGCATCGAACCGACGCACGGCCACTGCACAGATCATGAATAGTGAGGTGATGCGTCTGCGCCTGGACTCCATTGCATCAGTTCTCGGCAAGCGTAAAGCCTACGACACGTGCATGGTTGAGGTGAGTCCTACTTTATTCATAGTTGACTTGGTCGTACACCTTCCACCTCGTAGATATACCACTCATTCCTATTATACACGATCATGCCTGCAGGCTCAACGGACGGGTGAAAGGGTGATGACTCGAGAGAGTTGGAGGCTGTTGGTCCCTGCCAACCGGCTAGTGGCACCCTTCGTGGTGCCTTTGACACCTGATGCTGACCGAGATAGCGAGTTCTTGACGGCGTTATCTGCGGACCTTCCCTTCCTACGCGGCGCTTTGAATGAGGCACCTACATGCTCGGGAGGTAGCATCGACACCATCCACGTAAGATGATCCCTTGAACCTACCACCTCATCCCCCTCCTCTCTCTTTCCCCCTTTTGTTGCTATACAAAATGGTGGCATCTCATCCCTCTTTCACCGCTCTTCCTTCTCTCTCTGACATACTCGTTATCCCGTCCTTCCCCTGCAACATAACTACACCCACAGATCCACAACGGGCTGGCCATGCCAGCTGCAATCGATGCGGCATTTAGCCGCCTACCTCATCACGTTCGTGCTGCGCCGATGTTCTATGGTCGGCCATGGTTCTCCAACATCGCAGTTGTTGGGGAGGGTGACGATGCAGAGCCTCTCGAATGGTATGCTAAGTTGCTGATACTGTTTGAGGTCCGCATTGGGAGATTGCTGGTGCCATATGCTTTCATAAAGTACTATGACTCAGCCCCCTCCAAAGACATAGCTACAAAGTGCACAACTCTCACTTGGGCTGACTCGTCGCAACGCTATAGTGTGTTTGCAGTAACCAGTATCCTACGGGCGGTAGAGCTAGTCCGGACTGCGCCATGCGAGGACGTGTGGCTAGTTAATAAGTTCATGTTCTAAACTAGTAACCCGTAGGATAATAATGGATATTCCATTTTGTCACTTCAAACCATAGTGATTGACCTGTTGAAACTTAATGCAGTACACGCATAGACAATGTCGTATCGCTTTGCGTACGACACAATTCTACAATTTAAACAAGTCGTCACGTTTGTTGCATGATCACAACCAACAAATCCTTAAGGGCCTAGTAAGGGCTTCATCAAGAAAGAAAGCATGAAAGTGCAAAACGGGGACTTGTATTGTAATGTAGTCGTTCCTTTCACTATTGATCGTGTTAGGAAGTATGTTGTTTGTAATGGATATATTTGTGACATGCTGAGGTGGCACGTGACAACAAAGGAACCACCATGGTGGGTGGATGGGATTGACTGCCGGACGCGACGCGCAGCATATAGCTGCTAGCGTGCGATAGGGTTGCGTGTGAGTTGGACTGTGGGACTGCATGTACCAGTTCGCGCCATTGGCCCGTGGCCCTTTTTGTTTTTTAGTACGCATTCATTCATCATTTTCCTGTGGTTAGGTAATCTCTAGTTGAGAAAGTAAGAACGAGAATCAATGAACTATGAAAGAAGTGAGTACAAATACTAACCCTAATTGGGTTGTACCCCCTATGGGATACCCCACTACAGCCTACACAAATGTATAAGCTATATAACGTTCTGACACACCCCCATAGGCAAAGTGGGGGAGAACAAGGGGTCACAAGACCAGTCCAGCAAAGCAAAGCAAAACAAGCTCAGGGTGGATCTCAAAGACACCACACAGTCTGAGCACAAGGTCAAGGCCACAAGGCCGGTTCACATGCAAGAGTACACATATATATAAAGCAAGAGCAGGTATATATATATGTGACAGTACAAGCAAGGTAAAGAGGTGAGCAAGTGAGGCAAGACAGGCACAAGACCCAGCTGAGTGCAGAAGCGCTGATGATAACAAGGCGCAAGTGCCTTGGTGAAGACATCAGCAGTGTTGGCCTCAGAGGCCACGTACGCAAGCCGCAACTGTCCACGCTGCTGTAGCTCACGAGCAAGGAAGTAGCGAAGAGCAATTTGCTTTGTTCTGTGCTCCAGTCTCTGCTCTCGACACAAGGCCAACATGGCCTTGTTGTCTACGTACAGGACTGGAGGAGAACGAGGCGGCTCTCAAAGGTCAGTCAGCAGGTAGGTGAGCCAGCGAAGCTC